CGCACGCATGTGTGTTAGCAATAAATTAAGTTGTCTTGAAATAAAGCGGAAAGAATTACTTTAACTACCTAATCTGTAATGTGGATCCATGATAAATGTGTTCATTGTTTAAATTTGACCTTTCGTAAACGTTCCACTTGTTTCTAGATTAACAGCGTTTTAGGTGGTGATTGGGTGGGTTAGGATTGGTGATAGCAAGAGGGATGATTGTACATAAGCACACAGTGCAACACCTCGAATCGAGCCGAGTGTCTATAATACAACAAAAGAAGACTCATTTAAAAGACAATAACTAGGTCATCTTGTCATCAAATTCAACAAAACATTGAACATTAAATATATTAAGAATGGGAAGCTTTTTTTTTTCTTTAGTTGGAAGAAAATCGACCTACGTCAAAATTGAATAAATGACGAAACTTTTCAACTTTTTTATATCAAACATAATGTAGACCTACCGGAGAACAGAATCCATTCCATATCATGTCAGTTCTCGAGAACTATATGCGTGGTACTTTAAAACTATAAGATATCCAGTCTCTGTCTATTATTTTCTATGATCGGACAACATATTCATCATGATTAGCCTTCAAACAATCCCATGAAACCTTAACAGATTTATTTATAGATTTAATTCTTTTATGAGGGGTTGGGGGTTGAGTGTTCGACTCTGTCTGTCAAGGGAAATCCCGACTAAGGGATATGCAGCATTCCACCAGAAAAAAGGGTGACACTCGATAGAGTAAATTTCCCACACGAGAATAGAACTCATAACTTAAATGAGGAATGTCAAAGACCCCAATCTTTACACCATAGACGCCAGTCACCACAGCTCTTATGATATTCAGTTCATTAACACAACAACAACAACAACAACAACAACAACAACAACAACAACAACAACAACAACAACAGCAACAACAGCAACAACAACAAAAAACAACAACAATAAAATTTTAAAAAACTAGAAAAAATACCCCCCCAAACAGACAAACCCCTAAACAAACAAAGAAACAAACGAAAACAACAAAAAGAGGGCTAAAGACACATTTTTAAGCGCGGCCATTCTCCAAAAAAAACACAAATACAACACTCGTCATTGTTTTTATCTAATGCAGTCTTTATTCACAAAATACCTTGAAATGAAATAATGACCCAACATTGCTCATAATATTATTACAGCTATAACGTTGGAAGGATTGCCAGTGAGAGCTGTGGGAAGCGCACACAGGGACTGCCCTAGTCGAGAGTTGTGCCTCTGTGGACGTGTGCCAAAGCACACGTATGAGTGCATGTGAGTATGTTTTGTGTGTGTGTGTGTGTGTGTGTGTGTGTGTGTGTGTGTGTGTGTGTGTGTGTGTGTGTGTTTGTGTGTGTGTGTATACGTTTTTGCATACATGTGATTATGTGTGTTTATGATGTATTAGTATGTGTTACCATGAGAAAGTGTGCGTGTGTGTATGTATGTGTATGTGTGTGCCTGTGTGTGAGTTCGTGTGTAATTTTGTATGTGTTGCTATGAGCTTATGTGTATGTTTGTGTCTGTGTGTCTATATACGAGTAGGCCTATGTTATGTGTGTGTACTGTGTTACAACGAGCACGTTTGGTTGCGTGCGTGCGGGCGCACACGCGTTTGTGTGCCTGTATGTGTGTTTGTGTAAGTGTGATTCCAATGCTTGATGACCTCACACTAAACTCACTGAAAGTATACGACCGTTCTTGTGAACATAAGCTTAGTTGTGGGCTGTGCTACCCACGTAATTGTACGTCCAAGGAGTCCCCAACAAGTCTTCTATCTCATCATGGTCATAAGCACATAACAAAAACAGATGCCCAGCTCACCATCTATGGGTATAGTTGGACGAGTACACACAGGACGTCGAGATTTCGTTTCATAAGTCAAAAATTGTGCGGCATGAGTGCCGTGGAGGGCCATTTAACCCCTTCACTGCCAGGTTTTTTAAAACGTCATTTTACAAAACAAAAGACAATATCGAGCCAAGTGGTGAAGGGGTTAACATGGAAATCACGCTGAGAACAAGTTTTCTCGTCGAACAAAGGTGTATAAGAAGGTTTTGGCATGACTCTCGACTGAAACTAATTTGATTCATGGCAGCATCCCTAGACTGAAGACGAACATTCATGATAGAGACGACAGAACTTTAATAAATATTGGGAGGCGACACACCCAACAACACTGCATTTGACATCATTGACATCATCCAAATTTTAAAACAATAAAAAAAAATAGGGATAAGAGCATGGCCTCATCAATTCTACTGCTGGCCTCCCCACAAGCTAAAAATACATCAATTTTTGACACAACCAGACTACCCTTTTCTGGTAACTAGTAAATGCATAAAAAATGCTAACGTTTTCCCCTTTTCTGAAAAGACCAAAAGTGAGCGCGTCAGATTTTGGCTCATTAAAAATTGACCCCATTCTAAAATTTGATGTTGCACCCCACCCCCTTTTCAAATTTCCATAAATACATGTATCAGAACGAATCAATGCAAATGCCAAATCACAATAGGCGACACCAGGAGAGGGCTGACATTCTTTAAGGGCCGATAGAACCAGAAAACCTCAGAACCTCAAATTCGGTTCTCATCCTTCAAAACAACATAAATTTTTACAGTTCAAAGGACTCTGTACCAGACAGAAACTGAGGAGCACATCCTCTTGTAGTGCAGGACACACAGAGCCCAAAAACATGAAACATGAGCAACCCCATTAACATTACACGGAAAGCTATACAGACTAACTGAGGAACTAAGCAGGATGCCCCAGTGTATGACAGATAACGGTTTCAAGTGTGATCAGATCAGCAGTAAGAAATGCCGGACAGCCTTTGCCTTTGCTGCCTCCCTGTCCATTCTTATACACCCCTCTCCCAATCCCTTCCATCCTAACCAGCGAAGGTGGAAATTTAGAAAGAGTTGGGAAATGCGCATTTAAAATAACGCTCGGGAGGTCTGCAGTCCTATTTTCCTTGTATTTATATTTGAATCTGTCGGTTCTTCCTGTAATTGTATCTGCATACTGTTTTTATTACTTGCGAGTCTGGAAGGAGATGAAGAAAAAGTCTAAAACAAGAAAAGTATCTTTTAATCTCTTGGTAAGCATAACAGATTTATTTGGAATCTAGGTCTATTAAAATTGGTTGAGTGGGAGTCGGAGCTTGACAGCTTATTTTGTTTTTATCAAAATATTTCAATTTGTCTAACGTTATTTTTATATTTGTAATTCAGTGGTTTCTTTTCCATTTTTGAATTAGAGTTAGAAATCGGCACTGCAGAGGAGAATAGCTAGCGTTGCCAACGTTGCGACAATAATGCAAACAAAAATTCCATCCAAAATAACCTAATGCAAAAATAACAGCCGACAGGTAGAGGCAGAGAGTAACGTCAACAAGATTTGGGAATTAGTTGACAAAACAGGAAAGGATCCCGGAGAAGAAAAACTCTCCCACACACCGCTGGCACATCGGGGTCTGTTTCCATTTACCCACAGAATAGCCGGTTTGATGGTAAGGGGGGAGGGGGTTTGGGGCAGCTACAAGAAGACAGTTTTAAAACTAATGTCAACAGGTGCGCTGTGTGCAGAAATCCATTTGAAAACGGAGAATACACGCATCTTGGGATGTATGTGTGTGTGTGCGTGAGTGTGTGTGTGTGTGTGTGTGTGTGTGTGTGTGTGTGTGTGTGTGTGTGTGTGTGTGCGTGTGTGTATGCGTGTACTTATATATATATATATATATATATATATATATATATATATATATATATATATATATATATATATGCCACCAATCAGTAGAAAGGAAGATTATACATAACAAGTAGGTGAAATAAAGATTAGAAAACAGTATGGTGACATTTTCCATTCATATTCACCAAATGGTGCCTTAAGTAAAAAATAATTTAAATTAAAATAAAATAGAAACTTGAAAACTTGGGAAAGCATTCATTTTGTATATTCTAGGCCCCAATCGACACAATTTTCATCATTTATGAAACGGGCCGCCTCGATCCTGCCAATCAGGACCGGACTATAGTGTATCAGATACATACTGGCAGAAAGACAGATATAGCCAGTAACATATCTATTTTGCTCAAGTAAAAATAATCGATCCATCGTATTCATTTGGGCGTCCCGTGCACATAGCCTTATTATTACTACACAAAAACTGATCTCGTAACTGGAAGGCAGATCTCTGGACTCCGTAAAGAAGGCCTTCAGACGTAACAGAATGAAACTGATGCGCTAAAACCTACCTAAGCAGAGGGGGCAGTGAGAAAAAACCCCTTGAAAATGGAAAAACCCGTACACAACCTGAACACCACAATAACATAGCAGAAAAAATGACTAAAGTTACGATACTATGCCAGCCACCACCCCACTCCTCTCCCCGAAAAAAGAACCAAAAAATAAAATAATGTAAAAGAAATCAATTTAAACAAACAGTAAAAACAAAAATTAAAGTCCCCACAAGTGTACACAGCAAAATAAAAAAAGATAAAAAAACCCAAACAAACAAACAAAAATATGACCTGAAAATAAAATAAAAACACAAAAAAACCCCAACAACCTAAAACATAAAAATCGATCAGATGAACCGTTAACAAAACCAAATAAATGATTAATCTCAGCAAGGACAATGTAACAAATAAATACTAAAGAAAAGGCTAAAAATATCGTGGTCATTCCCATCATTTTTCCAACAGCAAAATGCAGTATGTGGCCGTCTATAACACTCAGAAACAGAGATGCAATAGAGAGAGAAAGAGAGAGAGATAGATAGAGAGTGAGAGAGAGAGAGAGAGAGAGAGAGAGAGAGAGAGAGAGAGAGAGAGAGAGGGGGGGGGGAGAGCGAGGAAAACGGAGACGAAAACATAGATATGGTGTGTGTGTATGTGTGTGTGCGTGTGTATGTGTGTGCATGTGTGTGTTTGTGTGTGTGTGTGTTTGTGTGTATGTTTGTATGTGTGTGTGTGGGGGGGGGGGGGGAATATGGGAACGATGAGAAAGAGACAGACATACAGGCAGATCGATAACAAATAAGCAGGCAGGCATAGTAAATCCTTGAGGTAGACCCATCTCATAGCCAGCTTTGAGTATAACAAATACAATGTAAAATCTTTCTAGCCTCTCTTATACCACTGTAAACTCTTCAGATAAAACAAACAATAGTTTCAAAAATGTATTCATCCCTCGAAGCAATAGTCAATCGTTGCGACATGCATACAGGTTTCGCCGACTGCACTCGGGATGACGACAGTCCAACGTGAGGCAGCACTCTTTTACACGAGAACACTATTCACATGCCAAATGTTAATAATAACAACTTTGTTCTTCTTGTTGTGAGTATCATACAGCGTGTCTTTGTACAATTCTTTCTTAAAAATCAGCAAATATTTACAATACACGACAGCTAGACACAGCGAGATAGGAGACATAATTATTATTTGATCATAATTATACTATGCACAGTACATTCGCAAACTTTTATCTTGTGACAACTCCTTCCCCCAACAAAAAGTCATTATGTACAACGAATGCCATCTATAAATATTATTATAATTATTATGATACCCATTTGTTATAGCTTGTATGCATACATACATGTTACTATTTAATTATAGCATGACTAAGAATGGTGGACGAATAAAAATGGTGCATGGAATCCTCTGCTCCACTGTGGCATGTTGGTTGTGAAAAAGGCTTTGTACACTCCAGTCACAAGAACGTGGAAGGTTTCAGAAAGGAATACATTAATTGTACTTTCAAAATTCAAATTCCGTACCTTGAGAGCACAAGAACAAACGCCACTTTGACATTATCTTTTCATAACGTCGTGGGAAAAAATGACAACTCTTGAGAAAGCTGCACTGCAGGCCAAGTTATTGAACATTCTATTGGTGGACACTTGTGTGTATGCTTTTTCTCTCCAGTGTGAGCGCATGCGCAAAGGAATGGACTTCGAGTTTTTCGATTTTGACCTAATTTCGTTAGTTTTGGTAAGATATTGAGAAAAATATTAAGATAAAAGTAAGTTTTTGACACCTCAAAGGAGAGTGTTCAAAGTAAGGTAAATCTTTTTTAACTGCTTAGCCCCAACCTGACGCTGAAGAGAGGATGAGGGATCTTCAAAGACCCTTCAAATATCTTTTCTCAAAGATGAAATCAACTATGACGTCTAAGTCATGACAATATCCACCGAGTCTTGGTAACTTTCTATACAAAAAGAGCAACTGCGATATCTTCTGTTGTTTTTATTGAGGTCTGTACTTCGTTTCCAAGCAGTAGATATTCTATCGGGTACTGCTCATCATTGTATTATTAACTTCTTAGTCGCAAATGTAGTTTCCTGAAAGTTTCTTCATCAACTAAACTCACTTCGGTAACGATTTAAACGCTTCAACTTTTGACTTCTTGTGAGTTAACCTTTTACCTGTGAGCATAACGGTTTGTGGAGCAGTGAGGACTTTGGCGGGAATCAGGGGGAAGGGGGCAGATGACTGGGAATGACATGAGATGAACGTAGCATGTTCTATTGACATCACAGGGTGTTGAAATAATTACAAATATAATATAATATGTGGGAACGATACGCATTACATTACATTGACAATATACACGTGCGCGAGGTACCGCTACTATAAGTGAACCCTAGATCGTTAGACATATCATGTTATTGTAATATTATGTATACTTATTCAGTCAAAAGTCACAGAAATGCCGGACCCGTGACCTCGTTTACAGAGTTCAAACAAGAGCTCATTGAGTTCCGGCCCCTCACAGACTTCACAAGCAAAACACTCGTTTCTTCAAGGTGGTTAACAAGTCTGCCAAATCGTTGTGATTCCCAGACTGTCCACAGGATCACTCCTTGGTCCAGCGCCTTTCTTGTAGCAATGGGACCCTCTTTGTATCCCAATGTTCATAGATGTAAATTTAGGGAGAATTCTCAAGGGAAGACACGCACGATGGTGACGACGACGATCAACTCGGCAAAATGAGACATTGTTTTTTCAGACATTTTATCGAATTAATAGGGACAAAGAAAGCTAGACAAAACCTTTTTAATCTCGCAACAGTCGTTGTTTCGAACACTTTGGTTGGGAAAAGCAAACAGAATGCTTTTAGGATGAATGGTGTATCCGTAAGGGCTAGTAAAAAAAGAGGAATCCAGTTCTTGGCACGAGCTTGGTAAAAAGAAAACTGTGAGAACCAAGAGGTGACCATTTAGTAGCTAGAACACAAACATTGGATGTGTTTCGGGAAAATGCAACACAATATCACTAACATTTTCTTCGATTTAAAAAAAACCCTTTACAAACAGGGTTTGTTCGGAGTTCTTCATTAGAATGTCCCGAGAAATCTATAGAATGATCTTGGGTTTTCTCTAAAACGTCCATGTTTTTTAAGATGGTTGTGCTGCGCTACAGAAATATGATCAAAGAATGTGTTCTTTGGACTCTGTGGACCGACGTGTTCTGGCGTCAACAACGTTTGGCAACGTTAACCGCCACACACAGAATCTTCGCTTAGGAGTTCAGTGTGACAGAAGAGAGAAAACACGAGTGTTGTCTGAGGATGACACACTTCAGGTTGGCGGAGCAGAAACACTGCAGGAGTCCAAGTACGTTTTTAATGATGTGGCTGGTTTTGATGGCCTGCAAAGGGCTCTGACCGCGAACTCATTGAGACCACCACAGGTCTACATTGTCAACAACTGTCCACACATAACGATAAGTGTGTTGACGGCTAGGTTCAAAGCACACCCTCAAACCCCGCTCCGCACAGATGACGTCTCAATGTGTTGAACTTCAGAGCTCATGATGCCAACAGGTCTATTTGTAATGCTGAACATTAGCGAAATGATTTCGCCAGGCCAGCGCAGCATCAACAGACGAACCAGGCCTGGGAATAGTTCTCCATCTTGCGGTACAAAACGGCTGACGACACATCGTGGATGATACAAAGTCCAACTCTTGTAGATGCCTGGTCTTTCCCGACCCATCAGAGTCCGAGGTTCGAACCCCACAAGCGGGCGTTCACCTACCTACTTGCACGTGTGTACGTCCACTATCCGCTCACAAGTCTTACACTTGACGAAACAACACCAGTGGAACTTGCAGTGACAGCGCTCGACCAGCTTCCTCTTGAACGTGTTGTATCCACGTCCGCAACACATGAGGTTACAGCCGTCCATACCGGCCGAGTGCCGGTTACACATGCGACCCACGGTGCCCAGAGAGCCCGTCTCCCCATTGGCCAGGCAATAGTTGGGCGATCGATCCAGGTAGATAAGATCCTCTTTCGACGGTTTGTTGTAGCGTTTATTCTTGCGCACGAGTTTCAAACCGCGCGAGTTGAATTTGATCTCGGTGGCGCCGTCGTAACGGTCTCGTAGTCTGTCGCCCACCTCCCGGAAGCTGGGCAGTTGCTGCCAGCATGTCTTGAGGGCGCAGGAGCCGGAGACGCCGTGACACTTGCACTCGACTTTGGCGTAGTTGTACACCGCCTGGAGAAACAAGGAGGGGAAGACCGGTTTCAAAATGAGAATGTGTTAATCTAAACTTGAATACACTTTAAATGATAATATTCTGGAGACAGGCTTGTAAAACTAAACCAGTAAACATTACAGGAAGAGGTATTTATGGTAAGAAAATGAGAGACTCCAAAAACACATCGATAAGAAAAAGATAAAAACATGATAAATTACAGGTATATTCTATGTGGGCTGTTCACGCTTTAAGTTTATAAAACAGCAGCAACAACAACAAACACAACAAAACCCTTAAGAACAAAATGAAAGAGCATTACAATAGAAATAAAACCAAAATAAACAACAACAACAACAACAACAACAACAACAACAACAACAACAACAACAACAACAACAACAACAACAAAAACAAAAACATCAACAATACCAACCTCACCAACAGAAACAAAAAAGATAATGACATTCTAGAACTGCAAATCAGTTTCACGGACTCTATTAAGGGCTTTATAGTTTGGATCAAGTGATTAAAGCTTTCCTCAACACTGTCAGCACCGCCCGGAGCAGAAAGAAAGGCACAAAGGTAGGCTGATAGTTTTGTCTAGGTATGGGTGGTCTGGTTCCATCGACAGGTTGTTACAGCTGCTGCAACATCTAACGAGAATCAACTTTGTACAATCTACAATCAGAACAACATTACTTCCCGCGGTTCGTTTTTTCCTCTGTTTTCCCCTCCCCCACCTCCAGTTTCATGTCTGTTTGCTCCTTTCCTCTCCCTTTCTCTCTCTCTCTCTCTCTCTCTCTCTCTCTCTCTCTCTCTCTTTCTCTCTTTCTCCCTCTCTGTATCTATTTATCTATCTAGATCTATGTATCTATCTGTCTGTCTATCTTTCTATCTGAACAAATAGATACGAGTATTGTGTCAGTGTCTTTTTCTGGGGGATTACCATCTCTCTCTGTTCCAAGAGAAACGACGTTCTCTTTCTTAATCCCCACAATGTTCTCAGTTTCTTTTCCACCCTTCATGGTGTCCCCCTCTACTTTCATTCTTTCTTCCTCTTCCATTTCCCTTCATAGATGAATTTCAACGGCTAGGCTTGCCCAAATCACAAACTGAAAAATGTGTCCTTTACATTTCAGCTTTCAAAAGCCGACGGCTTAAGCTCGCAGAGAAGTGGGTGCTTTTTTCGTTTTCCAGTAAAGAAATGTACTGCACTGGACCTCACTAAACCTCCGCGAAGAGCGTTTCATTTCTCCGTTTAGAGTGGCCATGTATAGCACTGAGGGCAAAGGTGCAAGGAGGCGTTTGGAAACGGCCGGGAAAAGCCACCACTGAATAGACGTGGGTGTTGGTGTGTGTGTGTGTGGGGGGCACAAGTCCAGTTGGGGACGTCTGTGTTAGGGACCGACCGTAAGGGTCAGCTGGGTGCAACTGGCAGACTAGGAGGGAGTATTGTGCACGGTTTTTAAAATATAATAATATTATGGTAGTTTACCGATTCGTTTGTTTATTCATTCTCTCAAATAAAAACATGCACTTTCTGAGATGCGGATTTATCTCGATAAAGGCTTATACCAGAATTCATATTGGCTTGTTCAAGGGAAGGAACTACGTGACAGTGTAATGACAACAGACTGACATTAACAACAACAACAAAAACGACAACAACTAAAGGCATTGCTTAGTGAGGAAACTTTTGTCAGTTTTGATGCCTTACATGCAAACCTCCATCTGACAGATTTGAAAAATCCTTGAAGTTATCTTGTTATTTCAAACACCAGTCAAACACTACAGTATGGAGACACGATTCAGCCCCGCAATCTAGTACTCGATACCGGAGTGAGTGTTGATATCTCCTGTAAAATATTCCACGGCATCAAGGTATAGGCTCCAAACGTACACTTTCCACCTTTCTCTAAACTGGTCTAGCCTCTTGATGCTATGACATGTCTTCTCACAATTTTCCCAGCACTGCCCAAAATACTGTAGTCAGCCAGATTCTTAATACACCAGGGTCAGAAAATCTTTGTTGGAGAACACAACATAGACACAAAGAGCGGAGAGGGCTGCCCGCCGACACCACCTTTTCACCAGGGCTATTCCAGAGGCTTGTCAGAAGCTCTCCACAAAATTCTAATTTGCCCTCCTCTCAGTTTATCGAGTTCCACAGGGCTTGTCTCCTACCATGCAAGCTGTCACTAATATAATATATTCCCGCTTTTATCGTAATTGTTGTTGCATCTACAGTAGCTTGCTCTGTCTGACGCTGAGTTGGTATGAAACAACCATACTCATACAGAACCTATACACATAGAACACACACACACACACACACACACACACACACACACACACACACACACACATACACACACACACACAAAAACATACACACAAACACACACAGACACACAGACACACACACCGCGCGCTCAATGGTAAACATATAGGCACTTCTAACTTCGTGTACACATATTATGCTCAATTACACTCACACTCTAACGAACCCGCATGATAAAAGAGAGAAAGAGAGAGAGAGAGAGAGAGAGAGAGAGAGAGAGAGAGGGAGGGGGGAGGTGAGGGATAGATAGATAGATAGATAGATAGATAGATAGATAGATAGATAGATAGATAGATAGATAGAAGGATGGATGATGGATGGATGAATGGATGGATAGATAGATAGAGAGATAGATAGATGGATAGATAGATACGGAGAGGCGAATCGTGGCCGGGAGGGAGAGAGGACTAACTTGCCAGTATTAGGATGTAAGAGCCTGTTTCTCGTTGCACTCTTAGAGCAGATATTGATACTAATGTGACAGAATGGCTGTATGGGCTGTAAAGGCAGGCGTAAATCGACATTACCTGGTCGAGAAATAATATTGGAAAAAGCAAGGAACAAAAACAAGGTAATTACCTTTGTTTCTGACTTTAAAACCCTGTAAAGGCTCACTGAGAACAATATATCGCTCCCCTAGAATTACACAGTTCTATCTGCTCAGTACCTAGTCTTGAGAAATTTGACGTCAAAACTTTTGAGCCAAGCTCTTTGAATGTAATTCTTTAAGTATCTTGATAACGACTCCGAAAAACCTTATAATTTTATTTGAGCAGATAGAATATCTGGTTTCTGATTGCGAGAAGTTGGTGGGTGCTCTGGTGTGGCTTGCTCCTTCTTTCCTATCAACCATCATCCTTATCTTCCCTCCTTTTTTTTAACACCTCTAATCTTCGGCACTTATACAACGTTGCTGTGTTGCTAGTGCCGTACACTTCTTACTTAATCTAAAGGTTTCTGATCTCATGGTCTAAGTAACTCAAAACAGCCAAGAATGTCGGACAGAACTAAATAAATCTAAGGTAGCAATATGTCATTCAAACTTCCGAACGATCGTGAGCGTATTGCGAGATAGATACATGAAGATAATTGGTTCCTGTAATTTAAAGATATTTGAGGGAATTTCAAATCTCAACTTCAAAAGGATTGTTTTTACTATTGGGCCTGGATACGTTATTAAAGTAAATGATCTCGATCATAGAAGAAAAGAAATAATGTGAGATAGTTTCTCTGAATATCTGTCACCTTTTTTTTCAGAGTTACTGTTTTTATCCAAAGCATCGTTATCCAACAGCTTACACGATAACTGGCAAAAGCAACTCCTCTCTACATTAAAAAAAACCCAACAAGGGTTGCTAATCTGTGATCTTCAGATATTGCGTCTGCTCGGCAATCAAAACGGTTTTTTTAAAACAAAAAAACTTTAAAAGCTCTAAAACTTTCAAGGGTTATAATATATGTTTCTAAAAAAAAGAAAAAAAGAAAAAAAAATGCTTGCAAGTAACCGACAATCTCATACATAAACCATCAGCAAACCCGTGTTAACCACATGGAAGGCAGGTCTCAGTAAGCACGAGGGCTGGCGACGTGGCAGAGCACGCAGAGGGCTCGCTCTCAGCCTGAGCGAGGACAGACATGCTTTCCAACCCGGCAGCTGAGGCCAGCCCCCCTGCTTGGAAAATCCCTATCTTTGCATAGTATTTGTTAGGAGGAGGGGGGGGGGGCAGAGAAAGGGT